TTTTAATAAAAGTTATAAAAAGATCATTAAGAAGCCCATGAAATTCTCTACAAAACCACTACTTTGCAGTTTTAGAAAAGTTATTTATTATATTTTTTATTCGATTTGACTATCTAAATTGCGTCCTTTTGCCAATGGAACACATGTAATTCAATTAGTAAGAGACCAACTTTCATGACAATTTTAATGGATAAAAAAATAAAGTTTTAGTTTATTTCACTTGTTTTCGTGATGATTTTTCTAAAAATCTTCTGGTAGTGTTCGAAGCGTTGCTAATGCATTCATAAAATCTATATTTTTAACACATAATTCTTGTGCCGAAGAGTCGTCTATTTCTGAACTCCCACATGCTAAAATATCCCGTGGAATAGCATTATTAGTTGCTGTACGTACAATCCTAGAGAACGTACTTGGAGCCAAGTACTTGGACTACGTACTTCGTCTGCATAATGAAGCCGGTACTTGCGTTTTTTCCAGAAGTAAATTTACTTGTAAGTACTTGTCTTTACTTGCCAAATACTTTCAGAAAGCACTCCTTAGCAATAAGGCAAGTATTTCGATCGTTGCCAAGCACTGGCATCAAGTACTAGGGAACATGTTCAATATATGTGATCTTTTTATGAAATACTTTATAAAAAGAATTCCATAAACTACTAAGTCGTTTTCTTCGATCAAAAACCCTAACAACAGGATCAGAGAGTCATGTAGATCAACTTGACATACTTTTTTGGGTATTAGTATACTCAACTCGACGAACTCTATCGATTGACTATCTCACATTTTAATTTCGGGTGTTTTGGGGTGTTAGTGGGTGTTCTCACGTTTTAAAAATATCCCAATATTAAGATCATCCCTTTAGAGTCCGATAATTTTTATCTTCTATCTTGTATAATTAATTCATAGTGTCTTCCATACGATATATTGCAGAAGTGGTAAACACAGTAATTCTCTACTGAACCAATTTATGTCCTGAACAGTACTGTAGTTTAACGAATATATTTCCCATGTTGGAGTTCCAAGATGGAATCTCGGTAATAGTAATGAATGTTTTTCTTTTCTGTCATATGCTTGCAGTTTTTATAGTGCTAATAAATGGAAATTGATTTGGTATCTTCTAAAAAGTCTCATTTTTCTACAGAGCGTACACTTGATAATAATCAAAAGACGAGAGAGAGAGAGAATTCCTTACCAGCAAAATAGAAAAATGTGTCAAATGATTACAGTAGCACAGAGCATAATCATTATCATAACCGTCAAATCGGCAACCATTGGGTATCCATGAACCATTATTTAATGAGAAATCCCAGTAAACACATGAAATATTTTGTGATAAAACGGCCTAAAACGAGCAATGTGTGTTTTGAAACAAAGTACTTTGTCTTTTGAAGGTAACATTTTCACTCTCATACCTGTGGAACACGAATTTTAATTTTAATTAAATCATAATCAAACGAATTTGTTCCATTCAAATTCCCTATTTGATATGATAATGGTTGACCAATAAATATTGATGTTTGATTACAATCTTCATTGCTGTTGTTTGTACAATTTTTTATTGGAAATAAATTAAAATTAGAAAATATTGTTTGGATAATACGATAAGAGGAAATGTTGTTTTCACCTTTAAAAAATTGAATAAGAGAGTATTGTATATGAAATGATCGTCATATCTCATACCAAGCATTAAATGTTTCACTCCATTTATATTCAATGAAACGATCGTGTTAGAATCTGTTAATATAGTTGTCCATTCAGTTGTTGTCGCGTCTGTTAAGGCAGTATCAAATACAGATATATTCATATTGTCTAATTCAAAATTTGTTGGTTGGTGATTGTTAAAAATTTCAATTTTTGTCGGAAATTTATCAAGAAAACGTAACAATCTGAGAAATGAGAGAGTGCCAAAATTTACTCTATTTATTTTAGTATTCTGTATATTACTTGTTAGTAACAAATTTTAATGAATCATCTACTTTTACTTCGCCAGTGATGTCTACCATTTGATCAACAACATTTAAAACACTTGTTGCTTGATCGGTGCTGAAACTTGGTAGTGTCAAGAGAGATTCAAGTGCTGCAGTCATTTCATTCATTGAATCTAAATTTGCTGTCAATTTTCCTAATTGATTCAGTAATAAATCGGATAATAAATATTCATTTTGTGAATAATTTGTGCCTGTCTAATAGTGAAAGAAACCAGGGTGAAGAGAAATACATGTAAAGAAAACTTACAAGAATAGCATAATCTTCAAATTTTGTCAGATTTCTAGGTTTCAAATCTAATAAAATAAAACAGTTTTAAAAGAAAGAATCTTATCTGTCTACTACATGTACATACCATTTATTTCACAGATAACACCGAGAGTTGGTTTGATACATGGAATATCATTCAATTTTCCTAAATCATCTATATTTCCACGTGATATAATTTCTACGCATTGTTCACCTGTTCGATAATCAGCATCTCGATAATCATTTGGTTCACCTTTATTCCATAACGTTGTTTTCTAAAATAAATATTAGATTTATACTTAAAAACGTTTGTATTCATTTCTGATTAATATTTACCAATTGTCCATTATGTATGTAGCAGAGCACATTAGAATCAGCATATTGTTCAAAATCCAAATTTGTTTGATTTGCATATTCAGCACACTAGAATTAACTTTTTTTCCAATGACATTTTTATTTCAATGAGTAATCTTTTGCTTCGTATAGAAGCTCGACAGCGTGTAAATAAATATCTTTTCTTACAATAGTTGGATCTTCGATCCATGTAACATTGTTTGCCCAAATCCATTCTTTTAGTTTATCTTCACGACGTTTTAAACCAATATAATGACCTTTAGCATCTGGACATTCACCTTTACATTTAAAGCTAACTGAAAGATTATGAACATAATCAGATTCTGTTTAGTATAAATTACAAAATTACTTACACAAATGTAAACTTTTTAATTTCTGTAATAATACTAAATCATCGATAACAGCCAACTGTAAACCGTGTTTTTGACATAAATCATGAGCTTGGTTATATTTTAAAACTTCTGTTATTCGAATAAAACATTTTCGATCGTGTTTGACAATAAATTTGAGTGTATGAGGCGACCACGGATGATCAGGATTCAGACAGGCCACATGTTCTAATTACACAACGTAAAATAATAGATACGAATAGCTAGCTTCTTTAATGATAGACTCACCTTCAGACTTTTCACAGCCCATTTTATCACAATATTCATCACATACTCCTGTTTCAACCACTTTACCGCTTGGACGTTTTTCTTGATGAGTAAGCACACAGGACTAGAAAGAATATAACATATATTATGTGTATTCTAGATATGTTTTTTGTTACCTCTCGAGACGATTCCGTTGTTTCATAAATACTCTCGGAGCTGGATTTACGAGATTGTGTAGAAGATAAAAATGCTTTTGCAGTTGATGAAACGCTAAGCACTAGAAAAAAGCGACATCTTTTTCATAACTAAATTATTTGAACATAGTGACATTTATTTTCAGATACTATACAGTAGTGGGTAAGTGTTGTTTTTACACAGCACAACTGATAAGACGGATCGAACATTTAAATACAGTAGCTATGCGTCTTCAACAATAAACTAAAAACATTCCAGTTCGAGGAAATAGAGTTTTTATTTGAAAACTCGGAAAACAATAACGGCATACATCGTTATGCTAACGAGAGAAATCTCCCAAATGTACTCTCGTTTTTTTTACGAAATCTAATAGGTTGTAGGTAATGACTATGCTGACTTTCAATATGATATTCATCTGCGTTTCCTAGCCGATTTCTGGAAAACCAGTTTTCCAGAAATCTCGAAAAATCTCCAAAACCTTTTCTAAATAAGTCATGATTGTAATTCGCGAAATTCTGATCAAAATGAGACATCTCCCAGGTCTACATGACCTTTCTTTGCAAAGTTATAGAGTTTACAAGAAAAGCTCTAAATTCATTTTTCTATTTTCTTTTTGTAGCTCACATTTTATGAACATTCCCTCGTAAATAGAGTTAATCTATTAAGCCGTTCGATACATTTACCGTAGAATTAACTAACTTATTAAAACTAAAAGATTAAATGGATTAAGTTGGCAAGATTTAAAAGCAATTGGACTACTAAATGATATTGTGAACATTTTATTTTAGTTTTAAAGGTTATTATCAGATTTTGGTCACTGCATACATAAAACCGCAAAAGTGTGGTTTTAAACTTATCCGTATCGGTCATCCCTGCTTCCATCGATTCAAATATTTCACTCATATTTCGAGAAGCTGCTTGCAGAAGTGTCCTGCGTACTGTAAACAAGTACTGAAACAAAACAGTTAAACAATAACGTTTGATAAAGAAAACGCCTAACATCTGATGGTACTTTTCGTATAGAATAATACTGTAACATACCAGTAAAACAATATACTAATTCATCTGATGAGTAACCTATAAGTAGCATGAAAAAACTATCTTTCACACTAACATGTTTCCTAACTACTATGATTACCAAAGTCGTTTTGGTAATCATAGTAGTTAGGAAACATTGTGTGTGAAGGAGGAAAATGAATGTGGGTGGATTTCACACTTTGCCAAAGTGTGCAATCCACCCACATTCATTTTTTAAACGCGCTCAAGCTTGGCCAAAATCGTCTGCAGACTATGCTGGGCCAATACAGTTAGTACAAACGCTTCTGAATCGTCCAGCAGGTTTTCCCAAAACCCACAGTCTTTCAGGTGAAGCCTGCTCAGAAACCCTTTCACCAAAAAATACGGTCAGATTCGGATTCAGCACTTAAAACTGCATCAAGTCCTGTGTAAGAAATCATATTCCGAAAGAAAAATATTTTGACGAAAAATATAGGCAAGGGGGGGGGGGGGGGGGGGGGGGGGGGGGGGGGGGGGGGGGGGGGGGGGGGGGGGGGGGGGGGGGGGGGGGGGGGGGGGGGGGGGGGGGGGGGGGGGGGGGGGGGGGGGGGGGGGGGGGGGGGG